CAGGTAGCTCCCAATTGGACGAGGAAAAAATGGTTAAAACTATCTTCGCCAATCATAATTTCTTCAATGGGGACGTATGTGACCAGTTTGAGTGTTACTTAAATAGTAATTATTATTAATTTTATTATTATTATTATTATTATTATTATTATTATTATTATTATTATTATTATTATTATTATTATTATTATTATCAGTATTATTATTATTATTATTATTATTATTATTATTAAAGATAATAAGATTCAGGACGAATCAAAGTCGAGCAAATCTCACCGCCTGTTTTTAACGCCACTCTTTCAAGCCCTACAAATATTATACAAAATGGAAGAAAAGAAGAGAATAACCCAGAAAATAAAAGAATAACCCAGAAAATATGCTGAGAAAAAACTTCAAAGTTAGCATGCTCGAGCCATGCAGCCCGCTTCACCAAAAAGTTGTCCCGGATAGATTAACTAGAGCGAATATAAAATAAATTTTAATGATTTTCTATTTATTCCTATTGATGTACATAAATTTTACTTGGATGTTTAAAAAGGTTTTTATTTTTCTTGTTATTAAAATTTTATTAAAAATTTATTTCTAACTTTTGGGTTATAACTGTTATTAAAGTTCTACAAAAAATTTACTTGTAAAAGTTTGTTTCCAACTTCTAAATGTTAATTACTTGATAGAAGATTTTAAAACGTTCGTAAATCATAATTTGTATTAAAAATTTTTTATTTAAAAAAATCATATTTCAATGCTTTTTATATTAACATTGTTATTCACTTACAAAAGCAACTGCTTTCTTTATAAAGAACTACAACAGGACAGAGAAAAATATATAAATATAATGCAAAGCAAAAGTACTTTGTTATAATATTTTTACGCTCTTTATAATTAAAATATAATAATTTTATATTAATAAAAAAATATCAAAAAAATGAAATAAAAAACAAAAATTCTAAGTGTTCTTAAGGGGCTGGCATCTATGTATTCCTTAAACGGTTACGTGTAGAGTTTAACTTAGCCTCTTGGCACGTTAGTGATTGTATGGAGCATTTCGAGATGAATGTTGAGAAGGCTGGCTTTTCCTGTTGTGAAACGTCAGTTCTTCTCGAAAAGGTTGTATCGAATGCTCTAAATGTCTCTAATAGTTTTTCTCTTCTGATGGTAATTTTTTGTTTTATACGGTTGTTTTTTGAGATAGTACTGAAAGAATTTCTTTTAAAAGGGGGTAGTAATGTCCATTTCCTCTCTCGTCAGATTCGAAGTGTGCTGTTTTGAATTCGAAGAGAGTTTGAATTTCCGATACTTCCTCGGGATATAATTAAAGTTCCTCTTAGATGTATGACTGAAAATTGGTAGACTATTTAAATTTCCTGATGAAAAATTTTTAGAAGGTTTTAAGAACATTTCTTAAGAAGAGATCATATACCGCACTCTTTAAAACAGCTCCTGAAAATAAAAATTTTAAAGGTGTTAAGTTTATTTCAGTTGCATACCTAAAAGGAGCTACTATATATGAAGAAAGAAAAAATTGTATAAAGTAGTCAAGATGCTTGAGGCGAGGTCTAAAAGGGCTGTTAAATGGGATTTTGAAGAAATGCTGGGTTTGTTGTAAATTCTTCTTAAGCATAATGAAAAATATAGTATATTTAAAGCAGTTGCCAATGACTTAGCTACAACTTCTTTATTTGCTTATCCAATGTTAATTTAAAAGATGCTAGCAGGAGGATAGAAGCTACTAGTTGTCTAAAATCTAAAGTATTAGATCTCACCATACCACTCACGCATATTTTGGGCTTGGTAGATTAATTTACAGATCCACAGCAATGGATGCAGGCTTTCTAAAGCAGAGGTAAGGAACAAGAGTTTGCCGAACACTTCACTTTTCTGAAACAAATATTCGTAGTGAATTACCTCAATCTAGCAGTTGCTTGGAAAGGATGAATTCACCCGGTGATGCCTTGAGGAAACGCGCTACCGGTTTGCAGTAAACCTATGCCACGTGTGGCGCGACTGGATCAATACCAAAGGTATCCAAGACTGCGTCAGATAAGGAACCCTTGGACATTTTTGGGGATTATTAGTGTGCTGACAAACTTATTTATATTGAAAAAGTTCAATATTTGACGCTTTAGATATCCCGCATATACCAGTGTCCCGTCTTGCAGGAATTAGGCAACCTCCTTAGAATTTTGTTGATATTTCAATAGAAAGGATTGATAACATTACCGTGGATAAACAAAATGAAACGTTTAAACACGGCACACGAGGTTGTGGGGACATATAAAGTGGATTATTGTAAGTTTTTGAAATTAGCTCCAGATAGGGTCCCATTGGCAATCTAGTTAGACTACGTAAATAGAGAGATACAAAATTTCTACCTCTCTTACTTTAGGAAAATCTTTTAATACATTGTTTGATGCCTGTCGCAGGTCACCTGTAGATTTATAGAGAAATTTTTAGATGTTGGCCTTTTAAGAATGTTGTTTATAAAATTAAAAAATATTTTTTGGTGGGAGAGTCAATTTTTTTACTAAAATTTTTTTTCTAATGGTTAATGGACTTTGTTTATTTTTGGTCTGGGTTAAAGTTAAACTGTGATAGTAAATCGGAATTTTGAATGCCTTAGCTTTAGGGCTCATTAGTACATCTTTTTTACTTAAAATAGATGTTATCTCTACCTTTTATTCATTTTACAATCTACGTTATCAGATATATATTTTATATATACTTCACACTATAAAATCTTGTAAGCTAGCTTTTGCGACCAAGTGAACCGTTTTACATACTTTTGTTGGTATATCTATAAGTAGTAGCACAAATATTTTACTTATTGACTACATTACATTTTCTTTGAATTACTTTTTTTCTTAGCACTTCAAGGGTCCTTGCTATTTAGTACTCTTTACCCTTTAACTTTATTATACTTCCGTCGAGGCTCTTATATTTATCTGTTTTATTGGAGCACTTGTACCTAAATAGTTTGTCGTACAAATTCTATATTTTGCATGTGTAATAAAAGCAAAAAAATAACTGACGTTACCTTTCAAATTTATATATAATTGTTAAAATTAAGTATTGTTTGCATATTTCTAACCCCAAAAAAAATTATGTTTTTTATAACATCTAATATTAAGTTCAAATTACTTAGTATACAAAACATTATGTTAAATAAATAAAGACTTAAGCTAAAACTTCGAGAATTCAAGTGAAAATATAGGTGTTAGTGTAGCTTACAATATACAATTGTTTCCTTAAAGTGTAGTACACCTAAAGGACTAAGAAACTAGAGTTCCTTCCAAACCTCAAAGAATAATTCACTCAGGTTATTGTAACCAGATCTTTGTAAACCTATAACCAAGATTAAATAATTTACCTAATTCTAACTTACACTATTAAAAAATTAAAAAAGGGATATAAAAAACTTTAATTTTTGTATATAACTAAGGATACCTTAAAGAAGTTCAGCTTTATAATTTTTAATATTAGCTTTATTGGGTAAAAATGATGTTTTTATTACTTTCAAAAGAGAATTGTAAATATAGTTTAAAATCTAATATTATATAAATAGATTTAAAGTTTCGCTACCTATAAAAATATTTTTTTGATAATGAGACCTGTCATCAACTTTATCCGCAGAGGTTGGCTAAAAAGCCATGGGGAGGGAGGTTTTCACGATGATATTTTTGGTAAACTTTTAAACCCTCAAAATTCCTACAATAACCCACCCTACCCTAGGGAGACCTGAAAAAAAACCCCGTTATCGTCCCTGCTGAGGTTCTGAAATTTGTTAATGATTCCACAACCAGAACGACTTCTTATTTTAGAAGAACATTGTCAACCCTCAACAAAAGTGAAGGTAGTTGAAATACAATACCACCTTTTTTAACAAAAATTATAAAGTCCAAATCGCCTCTTAATAAAGCGCAATAAATATTAAGCGTTTTTAAAATTACTAATTTAAAAAATAAAGTATACTGTGAGTAATTTAGTCTAAATAAAATGCAAGACAACTAAGCGCAAAAATTTAATTTATCTAAATCTCCTTAGAGTAGCCATAATATATACGTTTAAATCAGAGACTCTTAAGCATTGTAAATGAAAGCCTAAATAAATACAATGCCTTAAAACCATTTTGCTTAACTTTGTTTTTCGTCTTGTTATAGAGTATACTAAGGCTAGTTAACCGTTACCATAAATAAAAATTATAGCAGTAAACAATAGACCAAAAACAGTTAAATAAATATCCCAAGCTTTAGGCTTAATAAAATTATATTCTAAATATTGATGACAAAAACTGTTCTAGCATAATGAAAACTATTGTCCTTGCACTAAAAAAAAAAAATTCAAGTATTATAAAAGGCTTCAATAAACAATTATAAGCTAGTTAATAAAACTGTCATGCTTAAAATGGCATTATCACTGGTAGTGGGAATAAAGCGTAGATATATATACACCCAAGGTAGAATAAATGCATAAATATATTTATTAGACAAATTATATATAATATTAATTTAGCTGACCCGCTCTACCAAAATATGCACGCTCCACGCGGGAAGCAAAGAGCAGAAAAATTATCCCCTCCTACGTTTAATAACCATGAGCAAGCTAATTAAAGGACACATGTGGCTAACAGTACCGAAAAAAGTGAGCTCCTTCAAGTTATTGAGCCAAAACAGTATCAACAAGTAAGTAATATTTAATGTTTAATTTATTTCGAATCAATAAAAATTAAATTTATGTTAACTTAATTTTTAAATGAAAACCAAACTTTCATTCAGTAACCAATAAATCTACGCAACTTAACAACTTAAGTCAATATGTTCCACTTTGCCATTTTTGAGTTTTAATAACTTCAATTGCGCTGAGGAACGCGAAATTTTAGAAGTAAGTTTTTTTATATGCCAACTAGAGCGAGATTCATCTTCCCTAATAATACATGTAGCAATTAGAACTATATCTTTAAGTAAATTTAAAAAACTAAGAAACCAGTTTGTATCCCAAACTACGTCGGAAAGTTTAATAAGTTTCGCTTTTGTAGTTTCAGGATAAATACTTTGCAACATTGATATAGTGGGAACTTCCTTGAAACAATTTAAATTTACTAATATGTATTTAAAAAATTAAAATATTAACTTCTACGCCCCCGTCCACCAGTACGTTTCCTTCACTAACATTGAGAAAACCCACAATAGCAAGTGTGGATAACCTCCACAAAGCAAATGTATCTAAAAAAAAATTTATTTATATAAAATTAAACTTAAGTAGACTATTACTCCAAGGAGAAGTAAGTCCGGTGAGGACAGTTTCCCCAGCACAAAACTTGTGCCCAGATAAAGCAACTCCTACGACGAAGGAGTCCTTAGTCATGTGCCCTAAGACTTTTAAAAAAGAACGGAATGGAACAAAAACCTAACACAGAAGAAGTAAAATAAAGTAAAACTATTTATTAGAGATTTACTTCTAAAGAACAAAAGAGCAAGTAATCAACTTTACGAGTTTGAGCATAGTTTACGCTTATGTTCAATGGGGTAATGAAATTTCCCCAAAAATGAAGCTGGATAAAAAGAATAACATAAATTCTTTACAAATCTAACTTTAAAAGATAGACTTGTAAGACCGCTATACTAAAGTTTTCCCAACTTATATAAAAGAGTGAAATTACTTGTAAAATATTTATACCTATCGCTGGATTTTCTATTTTATAGTCATTTAGGCAACTTTCTACACAACGATATAAATCATAGCCTTTGGAAACGTCAACCTAAGAAAAAATTTTAATTAGAGGTAAACATATCACAATAACCGACAAACATCTTATGCTAACACAAAATAAGCCAGATTTCGTTATTGCGGTGATACCGTTCAAAAATTTTTTAATTTTTAACGTTGTAATATGCTCATCGAAATTATTTAAATAAGAATAGTGCAGTCGGGTGCAAAAATATATAGTTTTTAAAGAAACCGTGGTAGCAAACTCCCTCATCAATTTTATATTATACCATTAATTTTTCGGACATGTTACCAAATAGTTTCCGTGAGCAAGTAACTGTGTCCATGTGGTGCGTTTATAAGGTGATTGGCGGACTCCAAACCTATGTTCTTTTACTAAAGGGCATGTCTTTAAATTTGAGAAAGCAACAATTTTTTAGTTAGGGCAAAACGTTCATTAGTAATTACCCTCATCCTCACTCAGTTTTAAAACTGGATTTGGTTCTCTTCTCCTACTTTACGTCTTACTATATTAAATGAAGCATTTTCTTTATTTAGATCAGAATAATCTGATAGACTTTTTTTATAAATCCCATAATTTAATAGAAAATGAACGAAGAAGCAATGAAGAGAAGTCATGAAGACTTTACTTATCTTCTAGGGTTTGGTTAACTTTTTTCCTCAACTTTTTTGGGTTAAAATTCTCAGAATTTTAATTTTTAATTGTCAATACATGCTCTTAGTACGAGTATTATAATATATATTAACTATAGCGCCTACGTCAATGATATGGAAGCAGGAAAGAGGCGGAAATAGATTTATAGAATTGCTACACTCCTGTAGCTCGTGCTTATATATATATATATATACTAGGTAATGGTAATACTTAGTAGAGTGTATATTACATATAGTATACTATAGTCTATAGTAACAAGCATTAGTATATATGCATATATGCATATAACTAGTGCAAGTATACTACGAATATAGCATACAGTATATGCACTATACTCACTTACTAGTTTTTTCGAACCACGCTACTACTAGTAAGCTATTGTACTAGACTAACGTCTAAAGTAAACTAGATAGTACCAAAGCAGTCAGTCATGGCACAAGCCTATGCTACCGAGCGCTTTCGCATGGAGTTAGTAGCTAAAGGGAGCAGTACTCATGCAACTTAGTTGTTTCAGTTAACATATATAGCATTATAAGCAACGTACACAGCTCACCTTTTGCTTTCAGTGAGGATTACTCCGAATGGTGACTCTAATATACGCCGCTCCAGAACGTGAATTACTTTCGTCCAACAGGTCACTAGGCTCGTATGCTGTGCAAAACTCTTAGTTTCCATACCAGTACTTGATTTAAGCATAAGATTCCTTCAAGTTTGAGATAATGCAACAATCTACCTGATGCAGGGAATGTAGCACTTGCCAAATGAACCTGTCTGCTGCGGGATTTTTATCAAGTTTAAGAGTATATCTTTCGATATGTGTCTCCACAGTAGCCTGCAGCTTCCATTTATTTATCATGAGCAGGGTAACCATATTCATGACCAAACGTTTGACCTTTCACTGAATAGATTTAGAAAACCGAATGAACAAATTGCTAAACGCACAGCTAATCGCTTCGGTGTAAGTGGTTTTCGTCTGGGCCAGCGAAAGCATTCAATCAAAGAGGGTTACTAACAACCGCAAGATCATATTTAGTGTAGTACCACAGACTACTCCTTCTGAGGATGGCACCCGTCAGTCAACCTTGGCTGTTTCTAACTACCGGCAGGCCGTCGAACTAACCGACGCAGAAGCCGCGCATATATAGGTCCGATCTTTTTCGGACTCTTGTAAGATAACACAACTTAAAACGGCACAGTAATATCAAATTTCGTTAAAGTATCTACACAAATTGACGAACGTCTCAAAATATGATTAACGATCCAAGGCACAAATGCGCCTGATGCTGCCATCCAAAGAAAAGTGAGATAGAAGACGCGGTTTACAAGCATTTTTACGCTAATCAGAAATAACATTAAAACGCATCATTTAGTTTTTAAAACAGTCGTTATTGGCTATAATTTTAAGGAGACACTAAACTCCTCATGCGCGCCTGCGTCTTTAACAATACATAAATAAAAGTTTCATGTTAATAATTTTTTTATATTCAACTTTTAAGGGTCAACGCATTTGAGATTATTTTTAATTTAAAAAAAAGAGGTTTTGAGTAGCAACTTTGTTTTTAACTTCTACAACCCCAAATAATTATATTTTAATAATATTATTGAAAATTTATAAATTTAATAGGGAGTGGTTTTGTAAATTTGTCCGCCATCTTGCAATTGGAAGGTACGTGTTTAGTAGACACTTTCTAACTTAATGGTAAGCCATGTTAATGTGTCTAGTAAAGAGGTTGACTACTTTTTATGAAGTTCTGGTTTCTACTTTTTAAAGAGGCTATGAAATAAGTAAGATTTGTAAAATTAAAAAATTGTCTAAAACAGTCGGAAATTACTTACTGTAGTCATAAACAACCGAAAATATGCAAAAATTACTATGTTAATAATAATATACTCAAACTTTTTTGTTGTGTACAGTTTTAATCCGAATATTGGAAAGACCTTACAACAGTTTTTTTTACTAAATTCTAACAAAACAGTTATTAACTTGTTATAGGTTTTAAAGTAAATTTTCTTACTTTGGCTAAAGCATGAGAATAGCATTTAGATATTAGTAAAATAAAAAGACGTTACAAAGAGGCTACAGGCTTTTTGGAAATGTTTAACTAATTTTTCTTTAAGGTTATAAGATTCACCTTTACCTAGACAGATAAAGTTATTACCTAACACTTTATGTATAAAAAAGAAGGGTATTCGAAATTGTATTAGCAAAAGATTTGACGTTTATAATAAATATGTAATATATAATGTAATATAAAGCATTTGCAGGCAGACCTTATTTAACTAGTTTTAATTATTACTGTTCGCTCATCTTGAAATTTTTTTTTATCATAGGCATACGACCTGTTTTCATTATTTAGAATTTTAAAGATTGGAATACTTCACTTATAACTATAAAGTTTTTGAGTCTATGTATACTTTTCGTCTTTTGTGTTAATGTTTTTTATATTATTTTTTTTCTTAATAGATTGCTTGTTCTAATAGGTTTTTGTGTTTTCGTCTGAAAAGTTTTGAGTAAAAATGTGTTCTAGAGCGAGAGGGAATACGATTAATTTTGTACTTGTCCCTTTTTAATTCTTGTCTAGCATTACGATACGAAATTTCTACGCGTTGAAGTCGTTTTCTGCTTGCATTCAGATTCACAGGACAATTTGAAAAAAATTATTATCTATGCTGGACTTTAACTGCACAGAATTTCATGATAACATATAGTTTAATTAGATATTACAATAGAAAAATTAAGGGATTCTATAGAATACTTTTAAAAGGCTTTTCACGACAAAAATTTCTTTTGTATATACTATAAAGCAAACCATCTCCTGTTACATACTTTTGTTAATCCACTTCATGATATCTTTTAACAATTAAACGTTATTCCAATGAGTATTTCCGCTGCTCCAGTTTTAACTATATATTTGAAGTTATATTACTTTACTCTATGTAAAATATTGTATTAAATTTAGGTTACATTTCTCATATGATTAAAAGATTAATAAAGTTCATTTTTCTGACTTTACCAAATATATGTCGGAATGTACCAAACTAAACCGAACAGTGGGGAATTATTAGAACAATTTTACATCCTTAATTGATTTATTTATATGCATAGAAAGATATAAATGTTTATAAGAGAATGAAAGGGTACGCATTTTAAATTATAATTAACCTCTAACAGTGCGCATCTTCCTACTACTATAAAAAACTTATTGCGACTATGGATGGAATGATGTCCTTTTCTTTCGCAAATATTTTAATACTGCGGGTATCTATCACAGCTTCCGCTACTCTGCCATTGCAGGATAGTAAACTTATGAGCCGATAGTCTTTTATGAAGTTTCATGGTTTTTTTAATTTGGAAATAAAAAAAACCTCTGCTAACTTTCAACGATTTGGAAAGTAAGATATAGTAACATCGAATTATAAAAGTCCGATTACATAAGTTAAAGGAAGCAGATTTCCGTCGCCTAAGAAGAAAACGGTTCAGTATGCAATACAGCTAGTATATCAATGCCGATATGAATAATAAGGAAACCATGATCACGATCCCGGCCAAATGCCCCACAAAAATTTATCTTTATTACAAAGGCCTTCAGCCGTGCCAAGGCTGGTAAAGAAATTCCCCTAGGTTGAAGGGGTTCGATTCCTTCTGGCATAATAACGTTCGATGTACTTTTTGAGTATTTTATTCACTAAAGTCAAATGAATAAACAATTTAGGGGTAGTGATTCTCCTTACAAGCTCTATAGACCTACTTTAAAGACTTTTGACTGTTAGCTATAGAACAGAGCTTTTGTCCAGTGTTGTACACTCTTTAGTAGAGTGTGGCAAGAGTAAGCGCCTTTACCCTAGGCTACTATTCATAAAGTGACCGAAAAAGATCGGCACTATGGTCAACCTCAACAATTCTGTTTGAGTTAGCTCCACCGAACATCATGAAGTTGAGCTACCTCCTACTTGGACACGATCTGTCACTCTAAATTACCATCCTTACAACCATAGAGGTTGTTAATGAGTGTTCTATCTTCTCCTAGTATTA